CCATGATTATTTAGATGGGCTAAACCAATGAGATAATCCATGGATAGTCCATGGAGGTTAAGCCCATGGAGCATAAGAATGTGAAAGGTCATTAGGGTTTACAAAGTGTAACCCTAGCATTTGCCACACTATAAATAAACCCCCGCTATGGACAAAATCAGTTACACCATAAGAGCCACAACATTCTTGAAGAGTGATATTGATTTTGTGCAAATAACCTAGTCTCTCAAACCTCCTTTTGCATATTGGTGTTTGTGAACCATTAGAGGCATTACACTTGGGGTGCTCAAGCTTTCAAAGGTCAAGAACTACAAGTCCTTCTAAAAGGTAAGTCATCTAACTAGTTGTATTGTTCATTTGTTAATTTGTATGCTAGTTAGGGAGAATGTTTTGTAAAATTGAAAATATGCATGTATAATAGAGAAAACATAGATCCAAAGCATTTAGGGTTAGATGTGCACCATAGGAGTGTTATAGTGCTTAAAACCCAAAAAGTTCCTCCAAAATACGTCACACCATAATATAATACACATACAATGCATGCACACATGAACCTACAGTCTGAGTAGACCGCCTCGCAAGGCCTATAATACACCTGGACCGCTACCTTGGGCCTACAGTTTGACTGGACCGTCTCACAAGGACTACAATACACTGGGACATGCGTGTGTAAGGCATATCCTGAATTTGGTTAGGTCAAAACGTCATGCATGGAATCAACACTCAACCAATATTTAGAGCTGAAACACTAAACCTCAAAGGGACCTCAAAGATATATAAAGTTGACAACTTTATGGAATCCAACGATAAAAACTAACCCAAATATGATGAACAATTCGTAAAAGCCTATATTTAGAAGCATAACACATAAAAATTGGAACTTGACGACTAACGATGGTCCAGAATATGTGCTAGAATGTGGAGGAGGAGCTTGCTTGCTAGATCAATACTCAATGGACACCTTCTTCTCCTTCATGGCACAAAAAATCACTCCAAAAGCTTCAAGAATACACAAAAGGAGGCTAAGGTTTTCTTAGGATGAAAAGGAGGCGACGGAGGCTATGGGTGTGCAAACCCTACCCGTCACATCCTTAAATAGGGTCACTAATCCTGTAAATTAGGCTTTTGCATGCAAGCGGCCGCCATGTCATGGCCAATATCCTGTCACGTCATGTCACACATAAGGAATGCACGTTTCTAATGAATGAGACCACACAGTGGTGTTTTCCCTAACCACACCGTGGCTAACCAAACTCCATGATTAAAATCTTTAAATGCCTAGAACACAAAGGGAAATAAATACGTGGAATTAGTGTTACAATAGAGAACAAGTAGTATGCAAATTAGACAATTCATTAAAGTAAAATCCGTAAAATGTAGTAATGCACATGTAATTAGGTGATCATCGACACCATCGGCCAAGTTGAAGGTTATTGCATTTCAACTTTCAAGTTAAACGTGCAGGTTAATTAATATTTTTAGACAAAATTACATGTTTGGTCCCTAACTTTTCTGTATCATTGCATTGTTTTTTCAACTATATCAAACATTACAAGAATAGTCCCTAATCCAAACTAAATTAGCAAGGTTGGCCCCTAGCAGTTGACACCTTTTCATTCTTCCTGATAACCTCCCTTATGTGCATAACAAATGAGGGAATTTTTTTTCTTTTTGCCACACTCTTACTCACTGTTACCACCTTTATCTTATTAACCTAAAGAAAAGGGTTTCAACATTGATCCAAATGTTTGTAAGGAAGAAGTTAAGACAATATTGAAAGATACAATGGTTATATGGGATCATAAACTTGTTATTTACTTCAAAAATGAACATTCGAGCTCTCTTCAGTGATTTAAATTTGAGAGTTAGTTATGGTAATTTGATCATGTGGGAATGATAAAGATTCTCTATTATGTTGTAATTTTATGTTGATATTTTTCGATTTTTGATTTTCATTTATTTTGTTATTTTATGATCTAAAGATAATCCAAGGTCCTTTATTATTAAAATGCACTTTTAGAGGTACGTCTCCAAAGCAATAGGAAGAATGTCTAGATGTGGTTGCTTATAGATAAATATCTTATAATGTAAAAGTTAGGACGGAGTGGTAATAACCCTGTTTACTTTCGGTTCTTAAAACAAGAGGCTCTTTATTACAAAGTTTTTACTAGAAAGTCATCGCTTAGCATTGTTTGTGTAAGATATTAAACTGGTAATACATTGATGCTCAAGACCAAACAAAGGAGGAACAGGAAAAACTATGACAAAAGGATTTTATTGCTGTAATTCTCTATCTAAACTAACGAATACATGTCCTTATTTATACTAATGAAAGCAGTAACCTAAACCAATACGTAATGCATACTTGTTAAGCAAGCAGACAACTTCCTAATCTAAATCAAATACGTAGAATAAAAAGTTTTTTCCCAAAATACCCACACTCATAAATTCGATTAACCCGACACTCACCCCCTTAATCAGATTGCTCATATCTCTCGTTCACAACAGTGTTGAATCACCATATTTCCAAACCATCCATAATTTTCCCGGACACCCGACCTCCATCTCGGTCATGTCCAAAGTCCTCCATACCCTTTTGATTGTTCACAACACATGTACCATGTAGCATTGCATCCCGTTGGGTACGTTCATTACCATCTAGACTTTTCCCGGATTCACAACCTTTCCCCGGCGATATCCAAAGTTATCTCACTTGAACTTCCAACGCCATAATGTCCACACCGTGTTGTTTCTACAATCTCTTCCTTTGTTCCAATCACCTTTGCTCAAAGAGGCATCTCCACCGAATACATGTCCTTATTTATACTAATGAAAGCAGTAACCTAAACCAATATGTAATACTTGTTAAGAAAGAAGACAACTTCCGATTCTAAATCAAATACTTAGAATAAAAAGGTTTTTCCCAAAATACCCCTGCACTCATAAATCCAATTAACCCAACAATCACCCACTTAACCGGATTGGTCATATCTCTCGTTCACAACAGTGTTGAATCACCATCTTCCCGAACCATCCCGACTTTTCTCGGACACCTGACCTCCATCTCGGTCATGTCCAAAGTCCTCCATACCCTTTTGATTGTTCACAACACACGTAACATGTAACATGGCATCCCCTTGGATACGTTCATTACCATCTAGACTTTTCCCGGATTCACGACCTCTCCCCGGCCAGATCTAAAGCCATCCGATTTGAACTTCCACCGTCATAATGTCCACACCGTGTTGTTTCTCCAATCTCTTCCTTTGCTCCGATCACCTTTGCTCAAAGCGGCATCTCCACCGACCAAGAAAACAAAGCCACCTGCTTCACCGTTTTCTTTCAATCATGCTAAACGAACTGAATCCAAATCCACCTGCTTTGACAGATCCTTCATGTCTGCTTTTCACGCACCTATGCCGGTATCCCTTATCACGAACAACTCGAACTTTCTTCCTCGTTAATCATTGTTGTCCGATTAATGTAGACACAACTCTTTGATTTTTTCTACCTTTTGATTTCAATCGTTCAATGTCTTATTCTCTTTTTTAACAACCCCGACCTAATCAAACTTGTTCCGAGAGCACTTTTTCACAGAACAACAAGACAATGTCACGACCACCTTTACCGTATTCCTTCACCCGCAAAACGAACCGAATCAAAACCACCCGCTTTGATATCTTCCCGTCCGTTTATTCTGTGCCTCAAGTTAGTCTCTCTCTACCTTAGAACAAGCTCGATTAAGAGAAGTTCGGGCTGCTGTTGAGATGCTTCAACTCGCGCTCAAAAACAATCTACACCCCCTTAAACCGATCCCGGTTCCTGCTGCGTCTGTCCCGAAAGGCTACAGTTTTTTTAAAACCGACTCTCAAACCGGCCGTCCTACGTCTTCACGAGCCCTAGGATCTGATACCAAGTGTTGGTATTAGGGATGTTATTCGGGTCGGAACCGAACCGAACCGACCCGAACCCGAATAAACCGAAAATCGAATAAGGGTAATTGTATGAACCGAAAACCGAACCAAATAAGCAATACGGGTTCGGTTCGGTTCGGGTATTATTCGGTTCGGTTCGGTTCCGGCACGAATAACCCAAATAACATGTACAAGATGATTAAGGAGCCGAATAACCCGAATAACCCAAATAACATTTACAATGTGATTATAAATATTATATTTTGTATGAATTTTGTAGCTTATGATTTCATAACAAATCTTTTAAAGAAACAAATTAAACACTAAAAGAGTAATGTTGCAAGGATGAGAAAAACCTCAATCGATCAAAGAGTAATGCCGTCGACTCGTCAATTTGGTGTAATACGCTACTGTCGATTTGGTGTAATACGGATGATTGAATTCGATTTCGTTGATTTTTTGGTGTATTATGTGGGTTTTGTTGGGTAACGATCGATAGAAAAGAAGACCGAATAAGCAATCGTGTTAGAAAAAAAAATGTGACTTTTCATATTTGGTTCGGTCCTTTTGGACCGAATAAGCCCTTATTCGGGTAACCCGGACCGAATAACCCGAAAACCGAATAAGCCTTATATGGATACCCGAAAACCGAATCGAATTGCTTATTCGGGTCTAATTCGGTTCGGTTCGGTTCGGTTTTCGGTTCGGTTTGGGTTTTCGGGCCAAATTCTCATCCCTAGTTGGTATAAACCAGGTAATACCTTGATGCCCAAGACCAAACAAAGGAGGAACAAAAAAAACTGTGACATAAAGATTTTATTGTTGTAATTCTCTATCTAAACTAACGAATACATGTCCTTATTTATACTAATGAAAGCAGTAACCTAAACCAATACGTAATACTTGTTAAGCAAGCAGACAACTTCCTAATCTAAAACAAATACTTAGAATAAAAAGGTTTTTCCCAAAATACCCCTGCACTCATAAATCAAATTAACCCAACAGTTTGTTATTGAAACAAAATTTTCACCCTCCATTATATGTTATTTATTTTTTTTGGGCTGATCTATTCAACAAGAAATCACCTTATACAAACTTCCAAGCAGAAACAGAAAAGATTGGTATGTCTTTCCAATCAATGAGCAAACACCTACCATGAACACGAATCGAACAACAACTCTCACAGTCAAGGCTGTCAATCAACAATTTCGCTTCAGATAACGACTCGGTGCTCAGTTCAATCTCCACCATTCCAAATCGTGCAAAATACGTCCTCCAAACATCAACACTAATATGTCGAATCGTGCGCTCGTCTCCATCAGCTGCCACAATATTGCGTATAGTTTGACCTAAAAATACAGACTCTGAAACCCTTCTGCTTGGATCATCGTTGGCTAAACAATAAGACATGCTGTCGAAAAGTGCACCATAGAAGAAAAGCGCTTCAATAAAACGATGAGAAAAGGCAGGTGAAGTATGGTTTGCTTCAATTTCAGCAATCACTGTTATACAAGGATTAATCTTTCGTATCACACCCATTAGATATTCAAGATCGTTTGGTTTCACGATTAGGCCTGATAAAAAGACTGGCGCATAGACTGCAACCTCTTCATCATCATTGAGTTCGAGAAGATCTATGTTGAGATCTAACACGTCAGCTACCATAACAATCTTGAAAGTAAACGGGATGTTCATCGACTTTGCAAAATCATCAAGACGCCTTCCTGTAGAAACCAAAAAACATGTTTAAATTTTAGAGAAATGGAAAACATTATGTTGTAAGACATGATGTAGGAGTTACCGGTATCTTTTATCTTTGATTCGGCTGTTGTACCGATAGCAGTAATCTTGACATGTTCAAGATGCCTGTTGTACTGAGTGGCAAGAGCTTGCAACATAGCTATATATTTCATACCATTCCTGATTTGGAGATCGATTACATGGATTTTTCTTGCTTTTTTTACGTTTTCGATTATCGTATCAACCACACTAATTTGGCAAATACGCGATAATGGATGCCTGTGATGAAATGATGTAATGCTTGCATCAACGCTCATTAACGCTTCTTGAACATCAAACATATGAAACTTATCAAGTCTATCGTGAGCGGCTGTTCCAGTTTCACGGTTTATTTTCTCACGGATTGCTTCAGAAAAGTAGTAAACTAATCTTTCGATGGCATTTCCTTCGGCTGAAGAAGTGTAATTGCATGATTCAATGAGTTTGGTTGCATGGTCAAACTGCCGTTGACCTGTTTTCTCAGCGGAATCAAGAAGAGTAAGCAGAAGTTTGATGTCTTTAGCTTCATCATCCGATAGCCCAGAGAGTGAAAGTTGACTAGCTTCGGATATTTTATCATTTTCTGAAGAATGAGTATCGATAAACCACTGTCCAGCTAGCCGAATTTTTGCATTTGTCGAGAGTTTTTGGCCTTTCAACTCAGCGGATTTTGGTGCACTATCTTTAAGAATCCCAACAGACACAATGGGCGAACCTTTCTCATAGTTGTTCGATTGGACAGGTGTCCCCTTTACGATAGTTTGATCAGGTTGAGAGGCAACATCGATAGAAACACTCTGTAAATCTTCCGAGTCACCACTGAGACATGGTTCCTGTTCATCTTTTCTGAGTTCCTCAAGCTTGGAAGAACGATCATCATCTTCAGGTTTACAGATATCCAATTGCTTGGAAGGAAACATCACTAACCTGAATGCAATACAATCACGAATCTTGCGATTAAAATACAGTTGAAATGTACAACTGGATAGTAACCCTGTTATCGATTTCTTCAATGCCAGTTAGATGCCAATCAGCCTGCTTAAAAGGACAAACATATCAGATCGGATGTTATCATTATAATAAACTTTATTAAACCGTTTGTCAACAAGAATATATGAAACACAGAGTTTACAAGAAATACGATAATGTTTCATTAAGGTTACTAAACGTCAACAAGAAACTACAATAAACTTTTTGTTGGTTGTGTTTGAACTATCTGTCATATAAACTTCCAAGCAGAAATAGAGAAGATAGATACGTCTTTCCATCCAACAAGGAAGCACCCACGATCAACAAGAAGCGAACAAGAATTCCCACATCTGAAATTATCGATCAGCAACTTGGCTTCATTCAGTGTCGCATCACTCAATGCTAATTCCAACATCCCAAATCGCTGAAAGAATTTCCTCCAAACATCAACGCCAATGTGTCGAATTGTTCTCTCATCTCCTTCAGCTGCCACAATATTTCGTATACAGTGACCATAGAATACAGACTCCATAACCTTTCTGTTCAGATCATCGTTGCTCAAACAATCCGACACACTGTCGAAAAGTGCACCATAGAAGAAAAGCGCTTCGATGAAACGATCCACGAAAGCTGGTGAAGTATGGTTTGCTTCAACTTCCGTGATCACCATTACACAAGGATTGATCTTCCGAATCTCCCGCATAAGATATTCGAGACTGTTCGGTTTCACAATTAGGGTTGATAAAATGAATGGCGCGTAGACGGCAACCTTTTCGTCTCCATCAAGTTCAAGAAGATCGATATTAAAATCCATTATATCAGCTACCATAACTATCTTGAAACTAAGTATGATGTTCATCGTCTTCGCAAAATCAGCAAGATTCTTACCTGCACAAAGGCGCCAAAGATTTCAAAATATATATACACCGGAAATATTTTGTTAACACAGCGATTAGAGCTTACGTACAGGTATCTTTTATCTTGGACTCCGATCTTGTACCGATAGCAGTAATTTTGATATGATCGATATGACATTCACTTTGACTTGCTAGCGCTTGCATCATAACTACATACTGCATTCCTGTCCTAATCTCGAGATCAATTACGTGAATTTTTGTAGCTTTTGTCAAGTTTTCTATTATTGTATGAAACGAACTGAACTGGCAAACTTGCGATAAAGGAACTTTCTGGTGAAATGCAAAGATGCATGTGTCCACGTTCATTAAGGCTTCTTGAAGATCAAACTGCATACTTTCAAGTCCATGACGTGCGACACTACCCAATTCGCTGTTTATTTTCATTCGAATAGCTTCAGAAAAATAGTAAACCAATCTTTCGACGGGGTTTCCTTCATTGAAAGACATATTGCTGCATAACCGAATGAGTTTTTTTGCTTGATTAAACTGTTTTTGACCCGTTTTTTCAGCGGAAGCTAGAAGGGTAACCAGAAGTTGGATGTCTTTAGTTTCATCATTAGAGAGCCCAGAAAACGAAACCTTAAAGAGATGGCTGAGTTGGCAGATTTCATCAGCTTTTGAAGAATACGAATCAATAAACTGTTGTCCAGCAATTCGAATTCTTTCAGGAGTCGACAGTGTTTGCTCATTTGCCTCAGGTTCTTCGCCATTACAGCTTAGAACATGAATCTTTTCGCCATTCATTTTTCTTGATCTGCTTGAGAAGTCTTTAACAATTCCAAGTGATGCAAAAGGGTTGTCCTTTTCATCTTCTTCCAACTGGAAATCTGTAGCATTTAATGTATTTTGACCAGGTGGTGAGGTGAATTGGAAACAAAGGTTATCAAGATCTTCAGAAGAATGATTCTCCTCTGCAAGTTTTGCAATATCAAATTGCTCAGAATGAAACATCGTTATAATCCTGAATGCATGAATGTGCCAGTTAAAATACATTCTAGATTCATGCCTGTAAACAATCTCTAGCAACATGATAGTAACAGGTCGATTAGTTCAATGTGTTCTAGATGCTAATCAGCCTGCTTAAAGGGTAAAACACATATCTTTAAGATAAAAATTTCCTACCGAATCAAAGTAGAGGTCAAGTACGGCAACCAATTGAATAAAACTAAAAACGCTAGTGTAAACATCTATATGTCACTACTAGAGATTAGCCGATGGAAAACACCAAATAGTATACATTTATTAGAAATACCTGTACTTTAATAAAATTACAGTTTTCAAACAATAGCCGTATCTAATTATAAAAATTACAAGCAATTTACGAATACAAGTGCCATTTGACCATTTCTCTCTTTCACCCTCTCTAATACTGCCACACCACCACCAAATATTCCAAACTAGCAAACACTGTCACTCTCCACTATCAAAGAGATGACCGCCACCACCGGAAGAGACGAACCGCCACCGCTACTAATTTCTTGATCATCTTCTCTGCACATTGTCTGCTTAATTACTCTCATAATTTTTTGGTTGAATTCGTTTATTCTTTTGTTGATGTTTGATTTTTGTTAACTCTTTATTTGTGGGCTTGTCGTAGATTGATTACATCAATTATGTATTTTTGTTTATACGGATTTTTAATGGTAATGACAAATTAAATATGGTCTTATTTTTCTTACTACTTATTTTTCTAACCATATGAAATGATGATAAATGTCTTAAAATGATTTCGTAATTTTTGAATTTAACTTTAATGAAATTTCAAATATCCTCCTATATAATGTTGCTACTTATTTTCATACTTGTATAAATAATGACAAGTGCAATCCATCAATTTCTCTTTGATAAACTGTTTTGATTTTGACATTTGTTTTAATTTATTGAGTATGAAGATGGATAACAGAAGGGAGGAGGATTTTGATTTCTCTATTTTGATTAACCCTTACAACTTTTAGATACTTCGTCCGTGATATTGAAATTACAATCTTGAGCGGTAACTATAGATTAGAATAGAACTTGTCGTTGTACTTTTCTTTGATTGTGACGAAGTAGAGATGGTGGAACAATTACTACATCGTAATAAAGTGTGTTTTCTGTTTATGGTTTGTTCTAAAACTTAAAAAATGATTATGTGATATCTGTGAGGGAGGGGGAAGGGGACGAAATGATCACAATATTCAAACACAAAAGAACATACTCTACAAATTACTTAGTCGAACTAAATCTTACAATCCACTACATTTGATGTGTGATTTATAGATATATTATAAATTTATAAAATGATTTATCACAACTGGACTAATACACACCAGACATTATATCAAACACTATAGGAACACGTATAATTTTGATTATGAAATTAAAACTATTAATTAAACTATCGAACAAAAAAATAAAAAAGATATTTGTTTAAATTCAGTTATGTTATCAAATGATTTTTCCCATAAACTTCAATAATGCATTCCACTAAAATATATGCAATACCAAAGATTAAAAGGCTAATACAGTAGACTTATAACTATACATAGGCTACACATTAATATAATACAACATAAGTACACATATACATAAATTTACATAAATGATGATAATATTCAAACTAAAAAGAACATACTCTTACATTTTATTTATAGTAACTATTTGACCTATTTTTTTTTTGAAATGTGGCCCATGACATATTTGGCTCACGATGGGAGACTTGCTCTCCAAATTACTTAGTCGAACAAATGCTTACAATCCATTACATTTGATGTGTGATTTATAAACATATTATAAATTTATAAAATGGTTTATCACAATTGGACTGTTAAACACTCTAGGAACGGGTATAATTTTGATTCTGAAATTAAAACTATTAATTAACTATCGAACAGAAAAGTAAAAAAGAGATTTGTTTAAATTCAGTTATGTTATCAAATGATTTTCCCATAAACTCCAATAATGCATTCCACCAAAATATATATAATACAAAAGATTAAAGGGCCAATAATGTGGGCTAACTATACATAGGTCACACATTAATACAATACAACATATGTGCACATATACATAAATATACGTCTAACAGCCCCCCGTAGTTCGAACGGGAGGTCTCGAACAAACATTGAGACTGGATCTGAAGTCAAGAAATAAAGTTGAGGGAATCCCTTTGATGAAGATGTCAGCATACTGAGATGAAGATGGGACATGAAGAACACGAATCTGACCCATTAAAACTTTGTCTCGCACAAAGTGAATATCGATATGTATGTGTTTGGTGTGTTGATGCTGAAAGGGATTGGTGGAAAAATAAACGGCACTAACGTTGTCACAGTACACAAGAGTAGCGGAAATAGGTGGATAATGAAGCTCGCAAAGTAAGTTACGCAACCCATATGTCTCGGTAACTGCACTTGCTACACCCCGATACTCGGCTTCGGCACTTGTGACATCCCAGAATTTAGGTTATAAACCGTGAAGGATTAAATTATAGTAAATCTCGTAAGTTTCTCAACTGTGAGGGTTGAGGACTTGGAAGGAAAAAATGGTCTTTTGCCCAAATAGGGATTATAATTGGCTTTTAGACCCGTTAAGTAGAGTATTACCTTAATTTCTGATTTGGGTTTGGTTTGTGGATTTGTTTAGCAGGAGATACTTTAGCACCAACGGCTCGTGTGAGAGATCTATTTGTTTACCAATCAAGGTGAGTATCTTGACTCTACTCGTGGGTCAAAGGCACCAATGCCAGCCTACTGGATTATGTTATGAAGGAAGACTATGTGGTGGGCCTTGACAAATGTATGAAAGACCTGGATATGGCTCCCAAAAAACTGTACGCAAGACTTGGGTTTGGACCCTGACAATTATATGGAGGAGGCTAGTTGTCTTTGTGATACTGCATGGTAGACCAGGAGGTGACTCTTGGCACTTGTTTGTGAGACATGGGTTTTGGCCCCTGGCATGGCAAGAAAAGGCCATGATATGGCTTATAGAATGATAGTAATTATAAGACTATGGTTGGCACATATCAATCTCTATTCTATGCATGGTATGGG